TTGAGCCCTGCCTCAAGGCGCCCAGCAAGGACTCAGGGAGCGCGCTGGCCCCTCTGAAACACGTGGCGTTTCTGGAGCCAGCCACGAGAGATGCCTTGGCTGGCGGCACTGGGGCCGACAAGCCCTGCCCCACACCGTTGGCCCTAGGGCCCCCCCACAGCCTGCCGGATCAGGCCCTGCAAAGCACAGAAGCCGCATGCCCGCCCGATGGTGTGGGGTTGCAGGGCGACTCCCAGGGCAGCGCCCACGAGAAGGCACCGGCACCTCCAGCCCAACCTGAGGCCCAGCTGGGGCCCCCGGCTGATGCTGTTGTGGGGAGCCCTGGGGACCCAGCGCCCTGCGCCCCCACTCCACTGGTGAAGGAGCCTGCTCCGGGCAGCCCAGGAAAGGCACCGGGGCAAGCAGACGCAGCCCTGCCGGAGCCTGCGGGGCAGACGGGGCTCCCCTCCCCACCCTGCCTCTCCGAGCCCAGCCCTGCCGGCAGCCCAAGCACAGCGCTGGAGGCCTCCTTGGCCGCGGCCCTGAAAACCGGTGGGGCAGGAGAGGTGGGAGAGCCTCAGGAGGCTGCAGCAGGTGAGCCGTGGAGAGGGGACCGCACTGGGGCGCCGCGGCCGGCACTGTCCAAGGGCTGCTCGTTCGAGGTCACGCCCCCGCCGCAGGACGCCGGGACACAGGACACCGCCACGCAAGTTGACAGCCGGGCATCCCTGGTGTCCGTGGCCGTCAGCCCCATCAACCCCCCGGGCAGTGCCTCAGCCTTCCCCTTCCAGACCCGGGGGCACCTCGTGTCAGTAGCCGTCAGCCCCATCAATCCCCTGGACGGGGCCTCGGCTTTCCCTTTCCAGAGCCAGGGGACGGGCAGTGCCGCGGCCCCGAGCAGTCCCGCCCCGGCCAAGAAGGATGCAGAGATGCAGGTGTCCATGTCGGTGGAGACGCGGTCGGTGGCCACGGGGCCCATGACGCCGGTGAGCAAGTCTCCCCAGGCTTCGTACCCCGAGGTGCGTGTGAAGGGGGCGGCCGAGGAGGTGCCCGAGCCCATCCGGGAGGTGAGCTGGGACGAGAAGGGCATGACGTGGGAGGTGTACGGCGCCGCCATGGAGGTGGAGGTCCTGGGCATGGCCATCCAGAAGCACCTGGAGAAGCAGATCGAGGAGCACGGGCGGCAGATGGTGCTCACACCCCAGAGCACCCGCGCCAGCTCCATCAAGGGGGCCCCGCGGGGCAAGGCCAAGGCCAAGCGTCCGCCCAGCGTCTTCCGGGCCCTGCTGCAGAACGTGCGGCGCCCGCGTTGCTGCTCCCGCGCTGGCCCGGCCGCCGAGTGAGCGGGGCGGCACCGCGGCCCGGGGTTTCTCAGGCCAGGGGGTGGGGAGCAGTGCCCAGGCTCCGCGGGCTTGGGCGCCGGTCCGGGAGCTGCGGGAGGGCCCAGCTGGGAGCAAGCAGGGACTGGGCTGCGAGGTGCGAGGGACATATGTCCGGGCAGGCACCCCTGCTGCCCACGGCTCTGGGCCTGTGAGGGCTTCCTGCTGGCTCCCAGCTGGGCCAGGCTTGCCAGGAGCCGGCCTCGGCCCTGCACGGGGCCTCGTGTCAGCAGCCCCCAGGAGGCTGCCGGCTCCAGCGAGCAGCTCGGTGCAGCCTCACCCAGCACCCGGTGCAGGGTCGCTGCTCCCCCTGGCCCTGCCGGAGCCCGGGCAGGAGTGCACAGCGAGAGCCCAGGCTGCCCAGCCCCTCCGGTGCCCGGCTGTTTTGCCACAATGCAGCTGAGGGGCCGGGGCCTGGACTCTGGCGGCCTGTGTGGGGCATCGGGGCAGAGCCCCATGCTGCTGGCACGAGGGGCCATGCTCCCTGGGGGTGGGGGGAGGAGGGGGGATCACACTGCAGTCACTTGCCTGAGAAACCCCGACTGCCTGGGGGGGCCTGTGCCGAGAGCGGGCGTGGGGGACGCGTGCACATCCCCATGCACACGTCCCTATGTGTGTGTGTCCCCGTGTACATGTCCCTGTGCACGTGCACACAAGCGCACGTCCCGATGCACACATCCCCATGCGTGCGTGTCCCTGTGTGCCTGTCCCCCTGTACACGTCCCCATGTGTGCATGTGTCCCCATGCGCATGTCCCCATGCACATGAGCCCGTGCGTGCGTGTCCCCGTGTGCCCGTCTCCCTGTGCACACGTCCCCGTGTGTGTGCGGCCCTATGTGCACGTTCCCATGCACATGTCCCCGTGCGTGTGTCCCCATGTGCACATCCTCGTGCACAGGCTCGTCTCTGCAGCGACGGCGGCTCTGTACGGGGGTGTCTGGTGCAGCCACTTTTTACATGTGGGGTTTTTCAGGGGGGTGGGTGGGTTATTCCCAGGGGTTCGAGCCTTGTGGGGTGGCGGCGGCTTGGGCCCAAGGGCCTGGCCCCAACTCCGTCTCTTCCCTCCCTGACCTCCTCTCTCTGCCGGGGCTCAGCTGGGACTGGAGCAGCATCAGCCCCTCGGGCCCTGGTGCTGGCACAGACCCCCAGTTCCCACCGAGTCCAGCTGCCCACCCCTCTGCACTGCGGCCCCATGCTGCCAGGCAGCTGGGAGCTGCCCCCGCCCCCATGGAGCTGGGTGCCGGCCGGCCCAGAGTGCCTTGCCCGGTGCGGCCAGGGTGAAGAGCGCGGCACCGTGGCCCGGGGGATGCCCTGTCCCGGTGGGTCCGGCACACGTGGGGCAGGCAGCAGCTGCCAACACTTTGCCACTGGCTTTTTCCTTCACTGTTATTTTTGGGGGGGTAAAACTTGTGACCTTGGATGTTGGGTAATAAAAACCTTCTGCAGAGCTGTGCCCGGGCCTTCTTCGCCTCTGCCGGGTGGATGGACAGACAAACAGGGGAGGGGGCACAGCCCCTGCCCACCCTCCCCGCACACCACAAGCCACACAGGGGTCCTGGCCCTGGACTCGAGCCAGCAGGTTTATTGTGGGGCGCGGGGGCTGCCGGCTCCAGGAGAGTCCTGCTCCTGGCTGTCCGGCGCCCTCACAAGTCCGTGGTGTCCAGGCTGGGGTTGCTGAAGCCCATGACGGCCGGGCTGGGCTCCCCGGGCGGCTGTGCCATCCCTGTAGAGGGGTGCGCGTGGTGGCCCCATAGGGCGGCTGCCAGGGGCTCCTCGCCGCTGTACGTGCGCGCTGATGCCCCCGCCCTGCCCTGCCGGGGGAGAGAGCCAGGGGGACCTCAGGGAGTGGACACTGCCCTGCAGCCCAGCCCTGGGGCAGGGCCCAGTGCCCCCCACCCTGCTGCACCCCCAGGCAGTCACTCACCCCACGCACGGCGCCGCCCTCCTCCGCCACGTCCACCGTGTTTTCATCCAGCGAGTTCACACTGCAAGAGGCGGTGCTGGTGACACGGGGCAGGGGACAAACGCCTGGGGCCGGAAGGTCCCGTGGCCCCTGGGGGGGGCCAGGCCACGGGAGTGGGGGGCTCTCATAGGCGACACCCACCTGGTGCTGTCCAGCGAGGAGTCCCGATCATCCTCGTCCAGGCTGAGCGCGAGGTTGAGCACCGGGTTGGCCCTGGGCAGGAGGGAGCGTGAGGGTAGAACGCAACACCGTCCCCCCCACCCCCCTTGTGATGCCCCCCCAC